TAAAATGTGGAGTTTGAATAATTTTGTGTATATTTTATGTAATGATTTTGTGTGTTGTATAAATATTGTTGTGCTGTATCAGTTGGACCCCAGGAAGATTAGTAACCACCTTGGTGGAAACTAATGGGGACCCTAATCAATAAATCAAACAAATCGAACTCAACTGAAATGACTTCAAATGAATTGTTTTGAGTTTGAACCATGTTAGAAAGTCATTGGAGTTGATATTTTATTTTACAGCTATATTTCTCYTCATTATGATAAACGAAAATCACCAAGTCAAATGTAGACGGACAGGGTTTCATAGGATGGCAAAGACTGAAGGTTAATCCAGAGATTTACTGTGAGTGAAAATGATGCTGATGCTCAAAACCTGATTTTGCAAGAAATGAACAAAAATCAACCAGACTAAGTAAAAAGGACTGGATAATGAAAGTTTTTCAGAGACAATAAGTTTCAGACCTTATCTCCTTTTTTTTAAGAATCTGATAATCACATAAAGAAGTGGTCTTCTTCTCCATCACTGCTATTTCTTCAAAACATTCATAAATTACAGCCAGTGTATATTTTACAAATCTCTTTTGTCCAAATGTAGAAGACAACTTTAAACAGTTTGACCACAGAGACAGGTGGACCGAACAAATCAGCAACACAACAACACTAATATTCACCTGTTTGTTCATGAATATGTATATAAAAGGGTTGATGATGGTGGAGCACTTGGCCAGCAGCGACGGCGTGATGCTCGCCTCGGGAGTCAACAGGTCCGGCGGGCCGAAGGTGGCGAGCAGAGCCGCCACTCCGTACGGCAGCCAGCAACCCAGGTAGCACATCACCATGACCACCACCATCACCAACACCCGCTGCTCTCTGTGGCGGGTCACCACCGAACTCACGCTGCGCACCTGAAAGACAAAAATAAAAAAAACCTCTTATTGCCACATTCTGATGAGGAAATATACAAATGGTAAATGGACTGTACTTATATAGCGCCTTTCTATCCATCCAGGACACTCAAAGTGCTTCACACTATAGACGTTCACCCACACACACACACACACACACACACACACACA